CCTATGTAGTGCCTACTGACTCCTACATTGAAACATAACAGGCGTTCTGCTGATACGCTAGTGGAAAATTCGAAATATGTAGTCAACTGCAGAAGTGTTTTTCGATCGCTTTGATCAGCTTGCAAAATATCCTATCTCCAAGCGCTTAATGACGTACGTATGCAAATTTCATTCTTATAAAACACAGTTCTACATAAACAAAATGACAAACGTTATTTCACAATAACTATTTCTATAAAAACGAAAGCATGCTTTAGTACCGATGCAACTTCGAAATTTGACAATTTGTCATTATCCCAGTTACGGGACAGGGTTCATATTAAAAGCTCTCACTGTCTACGCCATAATATTCATGAGTTGACAGCACATACCACAATGGTGATAAATTGGCTTAAGGGAAATACTGTACTCTTCTGCCCAGATCAGTTTATTTGTAAATGTACGTAACTGCAGCAAAACAACAACATATATTGAGGCGATCCCTACTCAGTATTTATCTGACAATACCAGTCACTAACTAGATTGAGCCGAGAAGATCCGGGGAAGAATAGGTCTTCAGCAACCCATGCTTGTGGTAAGAGGCGACTAACGGGATCGGGTGGTCAGGCTTGCTGACTTGGTTGATTCATGTCATCGTATCCCAATTGCTTGGATCGATGCTCATGATGTCAATCACTGGATTATCTGGTCCAGACTCGATTATTTACAGCCGTTATATAGCTGGAACATTGCTGAGTGCGGCGTTAAACAAGAAACAAACATTGCATATGCATTTGCACATGCAAGCCAAAGAAGTGGTACCTTCTTTGGTGGCTTTGTATAAGAACTGCCCTACCTAGCCAACACTGCGATGAAGCAAGAAAACAAAGAAAATAATTAAGTTAGGGTATGAATATTAGGGGTCACGACAGTCGTCACTTGTTTGTAAGCATAACGGTCCGTCGGTTGCGAGTTCAACTCCAAGCATGGTTGTGACGGTGGCAGCGCATTCGTGACCAACTCGTGTTATTCCGGGACAAGCCGAACAGCGACTCGTGCCCCTCCCATGGTCATTTTTGCGACCGGGTTCCGTCTCAGCGTAAACGGGCATACCTAAAACAATTGTGAACTCGTTGCGTAATGGTTCACATATTATTTCCCCATGTATTATATATATTTCAGATGCAATTTAAAGCACATTGGGACGTGCGGAATTATACAGTATTATTGAACACATTTAACTGTGTCTTTGGTATATTTTAAGATGCAAGACATATGTAAAATCAAAAATTATTTCTGGGGGATTCTTTGTCGAAGAACTTAAAATCATACGCGCATTCAGATTGGTTTGTCGTATTTTCGCACATAACATTCTTCGATAGGGGGACGAGTCTTCTTGCAGGTTACGGAGTGGTGACGAATGGTGGCAGCGATAGCATTCGTCACCTCTCGCCCCTTTCCGTAACCTTCAAGAAGCTCCATATTTTTAATATAGATCGCGATTTCCTGCTTAAAACGTTCAGAAAAACAGGATTTAACCAAAATATTTATATATAAAGTCACGAAATGTGTTGCAAATTTCGACAAGAACGCGTCATTAGAAACCAACTTCTATCTAATGAAATCGTATGTTATGGATTGGAGAAAACACGCTTACGAGGTTTTGGTAGATAGAGCATGCCCTGGCGAGAGGGAAAAACCAAGGGGGCGAAGCCCCCGCGGTTTTTCCCGACCCCCAGGGCATGCTCTGTCTACCAAAACCGAGAGAAAGTGTTTTTCCATACTTATAAACCGTCTTAATTGATTAAATGTTATAACGAGCATCTATAAATGAGGCGCTTCATTATAGCGCTTCCTTGAAGACGTTATATCATAACTTGCACGTGAAATTCGCTGACTTGCCAGGCGTTCAAGAGCCCTTGGATGTGTCAACAACAAAACACAACTAAAATACTTACTTTTAAATTAAAGCGAAATCTTCGGTTTCTAAATGTTTGTGTTGCAATATTCCACTTCTTTTAAACTTTTCAAAACGAAAATTCGCAATTTTAAAGGTGTTTTTTGCTTTACAAGATATTCGACTTTAAACAATCCAACTGTTACATAGAGGTAGTTGTAACGTAACGGCTAGCAGTTACTGCACGTGCAAATTGTGCAGCATTGATAAGCACTTGTTTAAAAGCACGTGTTTCGAAACCTTGCTGTCCTTTCACCAGAGACTCTGATGTGGAAAGATGAGCGACGACGACGACGACGACTTTCATTTTGTTACGCAGTCTTCATTCACTGAAGAAAGCGATGACTTTTCTTATCGATTTGGAATGGATGCAATTTGAAAGTTAGTCATTAGCGTCCATAATAGGTTTTACTTTGAAAGTAAAACCTCTTAACAGGTTTTACTTTGAATGTAAAACCTCACAATAGGTTTTAATGCCTATAGAAAGAACTCTCTTATTTAATAGAGATCCCAATGAATAGGTTTATAAAGCTTCGGAAAGACTCCAGGCTATGTTACGAGCGTGTAGATGAAAAAACCCAAAACTTTCTAGCGATGTGTCATATGTCAGTCTTCGACGGACGTGTTATTCATACGAAGCTTCGAAAACGGAAGTATTTCTTCATGTTACTGAGCGGACAGTCGCTGTTATCGGGAAATGGGTGAAAACAGATACTAATTATAATTCTTTTTAAAATAATTTTCCAATTACGTAAACAATGAAAATAAAAAAAGTGGAAATTTTCGCTTCCTTGGTCTTTAATCTGGACGTTATGAATGTGTTAGCTTACATTTTTTTAATTTATAACGAACTAAATTAAGTTGTAAATGCAATATTTAAATAATGTGATAAACATAAATTTCATATTAATAAACAATAGGATTAGACCTTTCAAATGGTGTATAACATGACTGTTCTGTAGGTCGCAATAATTTTTTGAATTGTTTTTTCCCTTTATACATGAAAATGGCAAATCCTTTGTTACTGGACACTGTACAGTATATATTTTATGACTCATGAACATTTATTCACTTTCATTTAACTTTTCATTTTAATAAACTGAGTTATATTCATTTATCTCTTGTCTTCTCTTGTCACAATATGTATCGTAGCGTATCGAGATACGTATCGAATCGTGATGTAAGTATCGAGATACGTATCGAATCGTGATGTAAGTATTGAGATACGTATCGAATCGTGACCTAGGTGTATCGTTGCAGCCCTAGTGATTATCATCATGAGCATCGATCCACGCAATTGGGATACGATGACATGCATCAACCACGTCAGGGAGCCTGACCACCCGATCCCGTTAGTCGTCTCTTACGACAAGCGTGGGCTGCTGTTCACCAGTTCTAACCCGAATTATCACAGGGGGTCTGTGAGACTGAAAGTTGAGTTCGATTTAAACAGAGATCCGGATTAGTGACATTATAAGAGGATATTAAAAAAACAGGCACAAAGATGAAAGATTGAAAGAAACATTATTCATCATAATATATTCGGGACCGAAAAAGTCGGTATAGACAGAAATACGGATAAATCAAAGTCCAGTTTTGACAGATTCCACTGTATATAATAACAAGACACATTAACATCACTTGAACATGTTGTATATATCTCACATATAACAAGATACCGGTATATAAATAATTATATCATAACACATCTCCTAGTGGGGAGGGGCGGTCGGGTAGCCTAGTGGTTAAAGCGTTCGCTCGTCACACCGAAGACCCGGGATCGATTCCCGATATGGGTACAATGTGTGAAGCCCATTACTGGTGTCCCCCGCCGTGATGTTGCTGGAATATTGCTAAAAGCGGCGTAAAACCATACTCGCTCACTCCTAGTGGGCAGACCCTCAATTATTCAGTGTATAACTTCTCCATTCAATTTTTATGTACACTGGATAATTGAGGATGTGGGTTTTAGGTATATAAGGCAATATTAGGGCAGGGTCAGTTTCGTCAGTCATATATTCTACATCGTTCTACTGTTAGCCTCGCCGCGAAACACTGCAAGATTGCTGAAGCGGCGTTAAGCAATAATCTCTCACTCTCCTGTCTGAACGGCAACAATTTAACCAATTCCTTCCCTTTTCAGCAGGCCCCGGATGTAATTACATGAACATAGGAACAACGGATATACAGCCGTCATACACCGATGACGTCAACACAGCTGAATGCCAAAACAATCGTAATGGATGTTTTGTTGTTTTAATGTAATTTTTTAAATATCACACAAGATTTTGAAGACTTTATACGGGTCCGTTAGTTTCACAGGTTCGTAAGTTGATTGAGAAGTCTAGCATTAGGAATGACAGAAGTCCGTGTCACATTACTCCTTGAATTCATTACAACCTTAGCCTTGGAAAATAACCTAGAAATTGAGATCAGATCAGTCACAAGCATTGTTCAATGTTAAAAGTACCTTAAGATGAAATAGCTAAACAGGAACATCTGACTCCCCGAAGAACTTCAACCATCGTACTTTCTAATCACCGCACCCCGTGTGTTGTTGGTAGTACATTTCGCCAGATAAAAGTGACAGTAGCATTGGCCTGCAGTAGTTGGAGACACTCTGGGCCCCGTTTCACAAAGCGATATTAGCGCTAGAACTGTCCTAGGTCAATGTTAAAATATGGGTGTTACGATCATCTTAACGCAGGCGGATCCGGGGTGTGGGGTGTGGGGTGTGGGGTGTGGGTGTGGGGTGGGTGTCAAGGGGGTACGAACGCCTCCCCTTTTGAAAGCGTGTTTGTCTGGACCCCCCACCCCCCACCCACACACTCACTGAGAGATGATTTTTATAGTTTGGACCTCACTCTTTTAAAAATGCTTGATCCGCCCTTGCTTAGCACTAATATTGCTTTGTGGAACACACACACACACACGCGCACGCACGCACGCACGCACGCACGCACGCACACACACACCACCACCACCACGCTTGTTGGTTGATGCATGTCATCGATCCCAATTGCATGGATCGATGCGCGTGATATTAATCACTGGATTGTCTGGTCCAGACTCGATTACTTACAGACCGCCGTCATATAGCTGGAATATTGCTGAGTGCGGCGTTAAACAACAAACCAACCAAAACCAACCACACAAACCCGATATCAAAAATATCAAAAGGCCGGTCCTGGTCCAATCACAGCATTTCATTGTTTCTTTGGCAAAGGCATCACAAAATCCCAACTGTTCCTGTAATGTACTTTCACTGACGTGTATCACCGCCTCACGTTCAGTCGTAGAAGCATTGTGTCCGACATTCGCCGCAAGCACTTACGCACCCGTTTGCTGAACAGCAGATACCAGGTGGGATACACTGGTGCGTTGACGAAGAAGAGCAGACGACAAACAAGCAGTGTAATCACCCGGTTCTGAGGTGGGACGGCAGCAAGAGCGCGCGGGAAACTGCAAAAGATGAGAGGAAGCGAGCAGACGAGATAGGCACAGAACATAACAAGGCTGTTTCTGATAGCACTGCTCAAGCTGTCTCGATCCCGTCTTAGAAACTGGTTCCTCAAGGCAGAGCTGTTCTTCATCATCTGGAAACGCTCGAGATCCGCACCCAGTGATATGTCCGAGAAATCCGGGCAACGTGACCTTGTAGAAGTTGTGCTTCCATTGCTCAAGGTCATTTGCAATTGACGCTTCTGGTGATCCTGCTTCACTAAGTTGGCGGCGCGGATGGGGTTTTCTAAGGCAAGAATGTCTTCAAAGGCAAGAGTGTTGTCACACTTCTGGTAGTGCACTACAAGTGTATCATTTGATTTTTGGGAGACGGTGAACGGCCTACCGGCTGGCGCATCGGCAGGATGATAAGACCGTCCACAAGGCACTGTCAGGTCCGCCACGTCCGAGGCAAGACTAGGGGCGCGTTGAAATGGAGTCACGCGATTTTTGGCAAAAGTACCAGTGACATTTAATGTCTTGAAAATACTGTAATAGGAAGAAAATATAGTCACGAAGCCGACCAGGAACACACCGAGAATGAATAAAATGATTGTCATTTGTTCCGCGGCAAAGGTTGACATTTTTGATTGGTAATAGTCCTTACGAAATGGGTCTAATGTCGTCTCCATGATGTTACTCGTTCCTCTGTAGATCAAGCTGCACGTCGTGCTCAATAAAAGCGAGATAATCCAATTTCCGGCGATTGACCTTGACACAATTTGCCGCCGGATCCTCAAGGTCAGAGACGGCTCCTTGATTGTCTTTTTGCGGTAGTAGCCAATGCATGCAAATGTCCCCCAGTACTGAAGGAGGGAATTATACACAATGAACAACTGCGTGCTAGAAAGAGCCTGGCTCACCTCGTACGTGACGTCGTTGACGCCGTTGACGTTGACGCCAACCATGGCGAGGAGCATGCTGATGCAGAGAAGGATGTTGTTGATGCAGATGTTGAGGAGGTGGCTGTTGGGGGGCGTCTTCAGACTAGGGGAGTGTTGCAGTATCAACATCAACAAAGCGTTGATGAGGAGGCTGACGACGATGTTGACGGAAAGACAGAGCAACGCGAGCACGGTAACCCCGTACGGAAGTTCCCACACCTCGCAGCCACTAGAAATGTTTTCACACTCTCCGGTGGTGTTGTTCATCGCTCGCAGATACCGATCAACTAGAAACAGGTGTCATTTCCAGGTCCACAACCTTGACCTTGACCGATATTTCCGATCTGACCCTTTCATCTTTTGTCACCGTAAGAACACTTGCAGTTAATTCTTGTCCGTTTTACACAGGTTATCCCAACAGTGCATAACGATATTTTAAAGGAATGCAGGAATATTATTGTTGTCGACGGTCGTCACGAACTTCTCACTGACAATACCGCCCTTGATAGAAAACACTCATCACAGTTGTCTAATCGCGATGATCCTCACATCGTCGTACAATTCGTTTTCTTTACATTGCTCCCGAAGCTGACGTATTGCGGGTTTAACCACTTCTCCATCAAGTGTATAGGCTCCATTAAACCACAACGATGAGGAAGGTCCTGTCTGTAAAAGATAATACAAGCGATGAGGCACATGGCACGATGCTAATACAACTCGACAATGTCTACATCTATATCGGTACCCAGTAAATGGACCCGTGAAGATCCAGGGTAGAATAGGTCTCCAACAACCCCTTCTTGCCGTAAAAGGCGACTATGCTTGTCGTAAGAGGCGACTAATGGGATCGGGTGGTCAGGCTCTTTATCTTGATTGATGCATGTCATCGTATTCCAATTGGGTGGATCGATGCCCATGATGTCAATCACTGGATTGTGTGGTCAGACTCGATTATTTAAAGACCGCCGTCATATAACTGGAATATTGCTGAGTGTGGGGTTAAACAACAAACAAACAAACAACAACGGTAAATGTTAACAACTCACAGTTTGATGAGCCAGTAAGGACTATTTCAGACTGGAAGAAGTGACCAATTTCTAGTGAAGGTACCGGTGATGTGGCACCTCCGCCAAAGAAGTGACCCTCCGTACCTCCAACCACACGACAGTCAGTTCGAGGAACTTGACGCGCAGGTGTACATATTACCTGAGCTAATACCCGCCTCTGAAAGGTGCGCAGACTGTGTGTACTGGTGTAGTGTGAGAGCTTGTTTAATCAATACACAAGCCAAACTGTCAATCATTCCATCTACACTGACATGCTTGTTCAATGCAAGTGTCATTATCACTGATGGGAAGTGTCACTGGTGTATCGATCCACGGAGACAACATTCAGTGTATATTTGCACAACTTTTAGCACCAGGGGTTCAGTGCTGAGTGAAAGATAGAACCGACAGGACGAAAGGGTGGCAAACTAGCGGTGAAGCTGGAGGACTGTCATCAGGTGTAATGGTGTGTGACCGAGGGATGTTTACCAAGAATGGAAATAATGGTCTAAGAAGCGATGTTATCCTTCATTGCAACTGTGTATTTATTCCCTTGCACTCAGCCATCACAGGAAACAACGCATATCGCCTGCTGTCGTTGAATAAAATTGACATGAATTGTTTCAGTTAAAATTTGGGGTTTTATATCACCGATGGCTTGACGGGCAATCATGTGTATTATTATGAAGTGTTTGTTTGTTTGTTGTTTAACGCCGCACTCAGCATTATTTCAGATATATGACGGCGGTCTGTAAATAATCGAGTCTGACCACACAATCCAGTGATTGACATCATGAGCATCGATCCACGCAATTGGGATCGATGGCATGCATCAACCAAGTCAGCGAGCCTGACCACCCGATCCCGTTAGTCGCCTTATACGACAAGCATAGTCACCTTTTACGGCAAGCATGGGTTGCTGAAGACCTATTCTACAACGGAATCTTCACGGGTTTTATTTTGAGGTATGTCTGTATATATGTATACAGAAGTAAGTCATATTGAACTTTGCCTCATGATAAGATGTTATATAGGGTAAGACTAATGCATATCCTAAGCAGACAATATTCCTTAGAAAACTCAACTTTAATGAGTAAACCTTTAACACGTCACAGATTCACACAGGCCCAAGTCTTCACTACTCGAGAGTTACATAGGGTTAGATAGTTTATGCATAGATAGATATGCATAAATATTTCTTCAGGCGTATAAGTATTAAATATACACGGAAACAGGGTCTAGAGATCGTGCTTGTCAAAACTCCTTTAACCAGGATAACGAATAAAGGATAAAGGAGTTTTGACAAGCACGAATATCTGGACTCTCTCTCTATAAACCCTACATAACTCTCTCTCACGCGACACTCTTCAATATGACGGTCTTCTTTTTATGAGTACTTAATGCATTAATTTATTGCGCAATAAAAATAGAGGAACAAGATTTATTTCATTTCTTCTATAAAATATGATTGAGATCCCCCGATATTTAGCATGACCCCCAAAACAAACTTATCCATATTTCAAGAAGTAGAAATTATCCTATAACAGTATTCAATACCATAAAAAAATAAATATATAAAGAAGCGAATACTGACATGGGGCGTGACCCTAAAACAACCCTCAGTTGGAGGTGTGCGCATTATGATATCTAGTCCATATAAACAGGGCGTCTTCATAACACCGTTTATCATCCAAAACTGGCTCCCACAGGAGATGTCGCTTGGATGAGATCAAGCGATATCTACACTGTAGATATCGCTGCAATGAAATTACTTAAGAATTGACCTTCACTTTGTGTGAGTTCATTGGAGTATGAACCTTCATAGAGTGAGGGCCAAGCTGCATGAACGTCGGAGCTTGCGACGACGTTCATACAATGTTTGGCCCTCACTATGAAGGTTCATACTCCAATGAACTCACACAAAGTGAAAGTCAATTCTTATAATTTTTTATCACAATTTCTTACCTCAAAGGACGTAGGCCAAGATCTAAACACAATTTTATTTAGTACGTGTGACTTCATGTTTACACTGACAGCCAAACAACAACCAGCTATATCGCGGAATAAAATAGATCCCCCAAAAGAGAGGTGACATGAGCGTATGGATGCAGAACTTGCTCTTCAGAAACATCTTACGCAACACATGTCTTCATATAATATCCCCATTAGATGAGAAAGGTCTGTAATGAACTACCTCAGTAAGTCAGTCACAATGACAGCGCGTCGTAATACATAAATTACATCAAGTACAAGACGTCAAAATGGCCGACACGATAAACGTAACGGGAGGATTTCCGAAGTTGTTAATGAACCTGTGGCGGTTACATGTGTTAGTCATAATTGATCAACTGACCGATTATTGAAAGGTGATTAAAGATGCGTCAAACAGACACTAAGGTAAATTCGTAGATTGCTGGAGACGGTCACTGTCAGCCTAGACACAGATCGAGTCGATACTGACGATAGTTTGGATGTGCAATTTTTCGTTTGTTCATTAGGATGGGCCGTAGCGAGGAAATTCGTGAACAATCATGCAGTCAAGCTCTCTTACGTTTCTCAATGTATACTGAAATGCTGTGACCAAGATAAAAGGTTCTAAATGATCAGAAATAATGTTAATGTATGTTTTCGTGGTAGGGAATTCCCAGGGGTTTCCCCAGGAATGTGGAAGTAGTCCGTCAGTGTTTACGTCATTTCAAGAACACGGTCTCGTGAAAAACGTATGAACGTCAAATGTGTCGTTCATACACTTATGAACGTTAATTTCGCGGTCATGTGACCGACCTCTCGTCCAATGGAAAAGTCGCATATCGTGTAAACGTCAAATTAAAAAATTATATCACAATGCTTTGCAGACCATTGTGGTCACAATCAACGTCATTGACGTCACAATCAAAAGACATCACTAATGGCTCTGCTACTGAAGCTGTTAGCAGTACTTTTTTTGTACACTGAAGACACTGCTAATTACTGTCTACAAATTGAAAAAGTTGGAAGAATGATGTTGGATGATAAATATAATCTCACCCTCGTGTCTTTTGACATCAAATATATCAACACTCGTTGATAAAATTGGCAAAAGTCCTCGGCAAGCCTCGGAATTTTTCCACTTTTATCAACTCGTGTTGATATATTTGATATCAATAGACACGAGGGTGAGATTCTCTATAGCTAGTCCATATAATCAGGCGTCTTCATAACACCATATAACGAATCCCCGATACTATTCAAGGCCCTGAAACGCCCTATTATCAGAACTTCAAGACTATACTTACCCTGATTTCGAGAAGCAGGAATTTTATACTTAATCGCAATCCACGTGATCAACTTAACCATTCTCTATTCTTATCAGTCTTTTATGATCCTAGCTACTTCCACATCTGCATGACGAGCGTCGAGTAACAATTCTCCCTGGGCGTGAAACATAAACTAGGACTTGTGTAACCACCCGCCCGATTACGGAGCGGTACGCTGATGGTATATACGACGTAAAACAACGACCACAATTTGTGAGGGTTTCCAAATACAGCGAGATTGTAAACAAGACCCCGACTAACTATAACGATGTCACGAGCTTGGAGGCTTGAGATATGGGGGAGTTTTTAACATGAGTTCGAGTGCTCTTGAAGAAAGCTACTCCATGACGAGAATCCAAATTGACATCGTTTCAACATCGACCACTAGAACAGCGAGGCAGTAAATCACCACGATATCAGTGGCCGCGACATGGACGCTGGATTAAACGATAAGAGCTTAATCCCTGGGTAGACATACTGGTGAGGTTGAGGCATATTATGTGTTGCATATGAGCAGGAATATTGCCAGTTATCAGCGCTAGGGAAATATTGTCAGATAAGATAATTGATTGTGGTGTTTTGCCTTGTGGCCGCTGTTGATGGTGTGGGTCAGGTGATGCGGGTGGGTGTGGTTTTTGAGGATGGAAAACATTACACGAAATTATCAACCGGTAGAACACATCACACGCAAGACATACTGAGAGGGCACAGTTCAAAAAGAAATTTCAAATACTTTAAAACATTTTCAGAGTTTTATTGCGGTGAATATGGATCCGTAACTTTAGATCAGCCCGTGTCTGTGGGCTTCGCCATTTTAGAACATGCCAAACGACTTCTCTTATCTTTCCACTAAGACGTTAGGGTAAAACAAAATGGCGACCAACAGAATCTTAATACTGATGACGGACGTCCACAGTTTGTTTGATCAAATCTCCCGCGGAGAGGACATTTGGTGCCTATGGGATGCATATCTACGTGCCATTCCGATTACTTTATGTCTACATACATTATCTCAATGACAACCCGCTTCATTCCACCATCAGACGGGGGCACGGGTGGCCCAGTCGTCTAAGGCGCCGCGATTCGCTGTGCAGAGTTGCGTCCCTTGGGCACGCCAGGAACCTATGACTGTGGGTTCGAATCCCGGTTCGCCCCGATTATGTTTCTAGGTTTGTCAGCACCATACCCGTGCTCGTGGGTTTCACCGAAGTGGTAAACATCTGAGACCTGCATCACTTCGGGCTTTCCTCCCACATAAAGCTGACACGCCGCGATATAACTGGAATACTGTTAACAGCGGCGTTAAACCCAACTCACTCACTCA